TGGCACAACGGTCATTGGCAAATCCTTAGGGAATTCAAATCTTTCCAGCCCTATATAAAGATGCCACGAGCTCAGTTCTTTTGGGAAAACAAATCGGAGGATTCTTCTGGACAACTGTGAGACAAGGATGCATACTTTCACCCACACTGTTCAACCTATTTCTAGAGAGAATCATACAAGAAACCCTGAAACACCATGACCCTTCAATCTCTATCGGTGGTAGACCCGTCTGTAACCTACGTTTCGCAGACGACATTGACCTCGTAGCAGGTAGGAACAGTGAGCTCCAGGACTTAACCAACAAACCTGTTGAAAGAACAGGAACATATTGAATGGCGGTGAGCTCCGATAAATCCAAAGTAATGGAACATAGCACAAACAGTAACACCTGTGTCAACATTACCATAAACGGAAATTCAATGGAGGAAGTGTCCATTTTTAAATACTTGGAAGCAATGGTACTCACAACTCGCTAATCCGTGCACAGATTGCCGTAGACATAGCAACGATGGCCAAATTGGCGAGAATATGGAGGAGCAAAATTAGCTTTCAAACGAAGTACAGACTGTAGAAATCACTGGTAGTCTCTACATGGACACTCTTGGCAGAAACAGAGAGAAGGCCCCAATCGTTTGGAAATAAATGCAAGGGAAAACTCCTTGGCACCTTCTATTGGGAACATAAAACCAATGTGTTTATGCGCAAGAGGGTTGATGAAACAATTAGGAAGGATCAAGAACTGTCATCACACGGACAAAACAACTCAATATCAAGTTTTTAAGGTCCAGACCAGTAATCAAACTCGCAATTACTGTATTACCAAATTCGAGACAGGGTACTTTAGCCCTCTAGACTGGGTATAGGGGGAGGGATTTAGGAAAGGAGAAAAGATAAACGGGATTCCAGGAGATAGGAAATGGCGATTGACGTTGCATTTAAATTTTTGAAGATTGTATTTATCAGGAAAGCGAGTTCCAAAGGCGGGAAGTAAGAGAAAAGAAACTGTTAGAGTTGCAGTTGCATTTAACAATTTCAACAGTAAAAAGGTGGGACCTAAATGCCATTCTAGTGGTACGCTTTAATTCATGTAGTCGGAGAACCAGGGAAAAAAAACTCATCAGAGCAGTTGCCATTAAAATATTTGTAGAAAAACAAAAAACAGAGAGAAGCCACGTTAAGTCGGTGAAAAAGTAACTGAAGTCGTGATACCAGGTTATATTGCAGATCTTTCTTTGGATTTTGTCAAGAATCACAGGATGAATAGCAGGAGAACTGTTATGATGTTGATTTGGGGTTAGTAGAGACAAACGCCAAATAACACGTAACAATAAAAAGGGTTTTAATAGGTTGGTAAAAAGGTACAGAAATCGCCTGAGTAGTCAATAATTAGCTCAGCTAAGAACTTCTCTGTCTATCTATCTTCTCCCATGTCAACTGACATGCCACTATTTAAAGTCTTTGTTCACAGACGCAGACAAGTTCATCTTCAAGAGGGGTGGTAGGTTTCCGACACAACAAGAACCAAACCAGATATAGCAGCAGTATTCAATGCAGTGGTGAATGATAGATTTGTAAACATGCAAAATGAGGAAACAATTTCTGGTGCGACACAATGACCCAATTTTCCTTGCAGTAGAAGCGCTATTCAATCGCCATAGACTTTTGTAAAAACTTACTAACTTCGTCAACTAATGACACTCCATTACTTATTTGGCGGTGTTTGAATTCAAGTTTATAATATTCGGACTTTTATTTGAACTGCTCTGTCTTCATTGTTATATGCTGTCCTTAGACTTTTGTTGTTAAATTGATGTGTGTTTAGCACTAAAATTGTTATTCAATTGACAAAACAATATTCTCAATGTTATTGAATTGTCATTGGCTCCGACTGAAACAAGATGGCTTCCAATACAATAGTCTTACTCAGTGTTTTGATGCTTTCTCCAATACATCTTCATGGCAAAGTGTTATCTACGGACTCTGTATTGCATTGAGTTATCGAAAAGCAAAACAAACTTATATAAATCATATGCGGTTTTCTTAGGGGGCCGATATCACAGTAGTCATTCATATGCCAGATAACATATTTATATTGACTAGTACGTTATCTTAATTTTATAGGTCAATCCAATTTTCATAACAGATTTTCAAATAATCTACATTGGTCCAAGCCCGGAAATAACAAAACAAAACTATTTAAGTATAATTGCATCTTTTTAACAGAACGCCCACTTCATTCGAATTCGATACAAGGTCTTTTTTAAGGTAAGGGTCACATGCATACATGGGATCAGAGTTCAAACATAGTTCATTTTATTTCAAATTCAACGTTGCAAAAGTAAATGAAATTTTTTACGAGTTCAAACGACTTCATTTTTTTAAGGTAATATATTATAATTTGTACTTTTTGTGCAAAGTATTCAGTTTAGAAAATACGCACATACACGGACACATAATAACAGTAACGGCAATAATAATAATAATAATAATAATATAGACCATTAACGCCGAACAAAATGTGTCGTCCAGCTTACTGTAGCTTAACGTGTTTAAAAGCGAGTAAATTATTCTAAGCAAAGTGATCTATGTTAAAAACGAGAGCAACAATAGTTAATAAAGAAAAAAATCAAAAGTCAGAAGATGTCTTCTAAACGTTTCGCTATCTCTCTCTCTCTCTTCTCTCTCTCTCTCTCTCTCTATATATATATATATATATATATATATATAGTGTGTGTGTAAAAGAATGCTAGTACTGATTCTAATTTGTCTCGTATAACTAACCTATGTAATTGTAACAGTGTCTCTGAAAATGTTTCTCTTTCCATTCAATTTTGAAATCCCCATTTTCACGTGTCTTCATTGGCTAAAACTGGTATCAACAACTTCTCATACCTTATTTTCTTCTCTTTTCTTTTATAGCTGTAAAATTTAGATATACCTCCCTCCTTCTTTTTCTTTTCTTTTCTTTTCCTTCTCTTGGGTTGATTTCTTTGCTTTCTTATGCCTTTCGTTTTTTCTTCTTTCTTTTTCTTCTTAATGATTTCTTATTTTTCCTTTTTTTATTTCCATCTGCTTTTTTTTTTATATTTCTTAATATATATATATATATATATATATATATATATATATATATATATATTATTTGATTCTTTGCCTTGTATGGAAAACTTTCAAAAATGTAAAAAGAAGTGATGTTTCATAAATTGTGTTTTTAAATACAATCATTTATTACCACCAACGTTAACCACCTAATGAGATGTTTAATTAGACATGCATTTTTGTCGTGATAACTTGCATGTTCTAATGTAACAATATATAATATACATATATATATGTGTGTGTGTGTGTGTGTGTGTGTGTGTGTGTGTGTGTGTGAAAATATAGAAAATAGGGAAAGAACTCGTTAGGTAAATAATCCAAAGTTCTTTTAGTATGTTTGTTATTATTTATAAAAAAAACAGTGCTCCGATAAAAGTAAAGCCTAAATATAATTATTTATTTAAAAAGAGTTCTCATGTTTCAAAACATGAGCCAAAAATTTCAATATAATTATTTGAATTAAATTGAACTAAAGTACCATGCTCTGTTCCATCTTCAAGCGAAATTTTTGGGGAATCAAAATTTTTTGTAATCAAAATTCCCAAAAAATTCGCTTGAAGATGGAACAGAGCTTGGTACTTTAATTCAATTTAATTCAAATAATTATATTGAAGTTTTGGCTCTTGTTTTGAAACATGGAAGTCTTATGTAGCGAAGGAATCATATTTTAAATAAATAATTATGTATATATATATATGTGTATATATATATATATATATATATATATATATATATATATATATATAAATGCATGTATATATAAGTATAAATGCGGATATAAACCAAATAAGGAGATATCAGCAACTTTATATATAAGTGCGTTAACGTGCATACACAGGTAAGCTAATAAATATCTACTTAATATAAACAAAACAGTGCTCAATGTCGTTAGACGGAGCTAAGAAGTATATATATGAATAAATATAGTGTCTATTATTATTAATATGAAACGTCCTGCTCTGTGCAGACAACGGGAGATGAAATATAGGTATCCTTATTCGGGGAAACTACTGCCTGACTGGGATCATATATAGTCATGAATTTTTCCCTCTCTTATATGACTATTGGATAATTTAATTTTTTAATACCAGTTGTTGACAATATTTTTTCTTATCACCATCTCTGTTTTTTATTGCCGACGATTTTGTTTTTGAGGAAGTGTCGGTAGAAAGGCGCCTAAAATCTTTTTCTTAAACGAGATACTTTTGTATCTATTTTAATAATAATAAATATGATCCTTGTCTTTAAAGTTATCTTGTCCTGGTGTGGCATTAAGAAAAACCTGTTTAAATATATATATATATATATATATATATATATATATATATATATATATATATATATGAAGAAATATAGTCTTAAGATGTGCTATATTTATGGGATAAATTGCTCAATATCAGAGACAGTGTGTGTGTAAATATAAAAGTGAATATAGAAGTCAACACGTAGAGGCGACAGTCTGTTTCATGCTAGATGCAATCGTCAGGCTTGATATATATATATATATATATATATATATATATGAAGAGAGAGAGAATGAGAGAGAAAAAGAGAGAGAGCGAAAGTCGATAGATGTGTGTGTGTGTCTGTACGTGTGCGCGTTTGTGTGTCTTGCATTCAATCAATGTTAAATGCAATAAAAGTCTTAACGGTGTTAGAAAACGTAGGCTGAATGACAGTATTATGAATTATTTGTTGTTTGTCTCTGCGGATTTCTTAGACCGCCAACAATCGCCTCGTTCACAATGCTGGGTACCTACACTTTGTCCATTCTCACAGCAAGAGTTTGGAGATAGCATTCGCGGGAGTGGGGCCAATTATTATGACAGGTTAGGAAATAAATGAAGTTAGAGAAGATGACAAATTGAGAAAGATAGCCGGAAAAAGAAAGAGAGGAAGACAAAGAGAAGAAAAAAGAAAAGAGAGGAAGAAAATAGAGAAAGAAAAAGTAAAGAGAGGAAGACGAGGAGAGGAAGAAGGCGGGGGAAAAGAAGAAAAACTGAGAGAAATAAAACAGAGACAGAACAAGGTGAGAGAAAAAGAAAAAAAGGAAAGAAGAAGAAATTGAGGATGAAGAACAAAGTGAAATGAAAGAATGAAGAGAGATGAAGAATTAAATCGGAAAGAAAGAAAGAGAAAGAAAGCCGGAAAAAAAAAAGAAAAAGATAGAGAAAAAAAACAAATAGAGGTAATGGAAGAACGAAGAAAATGAGAAGAAAAACAGAAAAGGGAGAGAAAGAGAGAAAGATGTTGAAAAGAGAAATATGAAAGAAAGAAAGAAAGAAAAGAAAGAAAAGAAAGAAAGAAAGAAAAAAGTAGAAGAGAAGAAAAAACAAATAGAGGTAATGAAGAACGAAGAAAATGAGAAGAAAAACAGAAAAATAGGAGAAAGAGAGTGGAAAAGAGAAAATACGAAAAGAAAGAAAGAAAGAAAGAAAGAAAGAAAGAAAGAAAGAAAGAAAAAGAAAGAGAAGAGATAGAAGAAAAACAAATTCGAAGAAAATGAGGAAAATAGGAGAAAGAGAGAAAATGTTGAAAGAGAAAATACGAAAAAAAGAAAGAAAGAAAGAAAGAAAGAAAGAAAGAAAGAAAGAAAAAAAAGTAGAAGAGATAGAAGAAAAACAGGTTGGAGAACGAAGAAAAATGAGAAAAAAAAGAGAAAGATGAGAAAAAGAAAGAAAGAAAGAAAGAAAAGAAAGAAAGAAAGAAAGAAAAGAAAGAAAGAAAGAAAAGTAGAAGAGATAGAAGAAAAAAACAAATTGAACGAAGAAAAATGAGAAGAAAAAAACAGAAAATAGGAGAAAGAGAGAAAGATGTTGAAAAGAGAAATACGAAAGAAAGAAAGAAAGAAAGAAAGAAAGAAAAAAGAAAGAAAAAGTAGAAGAGATAGAAGAAAACAAATAGAGGAATGGAAGAACGAAGAAAATGAGAAAGAAAAAAACAGTAAACAGGGAGAAAGAGAGAAAGATGAAAAAAGAAAATAGAAGAAAGAAAGAAAGAAAGAAAAGAAAGAAAGAAAGAAAGAAAGGAAGGAAGAAAAAAAAAAAAGAAAGAAAAAGTAGAAGAGATAGAAGAAAAACAAATAGAGGTAATGGAAGAACGAAGAAAAATGAGAAGAAAAACAGAAAATAGGAGAAAGAGAGAAAGATGTTGAAAAGAGAAAATACGAAAGAAAGAAAGAAAGAAAGAAAGAAAGAAAGAAAGAAAGAAAGAAAGAAAGTAGAAGAGATAGAAGAAAAACAAATAGAGGTAATGGAAGAACGAAGAAAAATGAGAAGAAAAACAGAAAATAGGGAAAAGAGAAAGATGTTGAAAAAGAAAATACGAAAGAAAGAAAGAAAAGAAAGAAAGAAAGAAAGAAAGAAAGAAAAAGAAAGAAAGAAAAGAAAGAAAAAGTAAAGATAAAGAAAAACAAATAGAGGTAATGGAAGAACGAAGAAAATGAGAAGAAAAACAGAAAATAGGAGAAAAGAGAAAGATGTTGAAAAGAGAAAAATACGAAAGAAAAGAAAGAAAGAAAGAAAGAAAGAAAGAAAGAAGGAAGAAAGAAAGAAAGAAAGAAAAAGTAGAAGAGAAAAGAAGAATAGAGTGGAGAACGAAGAAAAATGAGAAAAAAAACAGAAAATAGGAGAAAAAGAGAAAATGTTGAAAAAAGAGAAAATACGAAAGAAAGAAAAAAAAGAAAAAAGAAAGAAAGAAAGGAAAGTAGAAGAGATAGAAGAAAAAAAACAAATAGAGGTAATGGAAGAACGAAAAAATGAGAAGAAAAAACAGAAAATAGGGAGAAAGAGAAAAGATGTTGAAAAGAGAAAATACGAAAGAAAGAAAGAAAGAAAGAAAGAAAGAAAGAAAAGAAAGAAAGAAAGAAAGAAAAAGTAGAAGAGAAGAGAAAAACAAAAGAGGTAATGGAAAGAACGAAGAAAAATGAGAAGAAAAACAGAAAATAGGGAGAAAGAGAGAAAGATGTTGAAAAGAGAAAATACGAAAGAAAGAAAAAAAGAAAGAAAGAAAGAAAGGAAGGAAGAAAAGAAAAAAGAAAGAAAGAAAAGAAAAGTAGAAGAGATAGAAAAAAACAAATAGAGGTAATGGAAGAATTGAAGAAAAATGAGAAGAAAAACAGAAAGGAGAGAAGAGAGAAAGATGTTGAAAAGAGAAAATACGAAAGAAAGAAAGAAAAGAAAAAAAAGAAAGAAAGAAAGAAAGAAAGAAAAAAAGAAGAGAAGAAAACAAATAGAGGTAATGGAAGAACGAAGAAAATGAGAAGAAAAACAGAAAATAGGAGAAAAGAGAGAAAGATGTTGAAAAGAGAAAATACGAAAGAAAGAAAAAAAGAAAGAAAGAAAGAAAAAAGAAAGAAATAAAAAGAGAAGAGATGAAGAAAAACAAATAGAGGTAATGGAAGAACGAAGAAAATGAGAAGAAAACAGAAAAATAGGAGAAAGAGAAAAGATGTTGAAAAGAGAAAATAAAAGAAAGAAAGAAAGAAAGAAAGAAAGAAAAAGAAAAAGAAAGAAAAAAAAGAAGAGATAGAAGAAAAAACAAATAGAGGTAATGGAAGAACGAAGAAAAATGAGAGAAAAAAAAAAAAGAAAATAGGAGAAAGAGAGAAAGATGTTGAAAAGAGAAAAAACGAAAGAAAGAAAGAAAAAGAAAAGAAAGAAAAAAGAAAGAAAGAAAGAAAAAAAAATAAAGAAAGAAAAGTAGAAGAGATAGAAGAAAAACAAATGGAGGTAATGGAAGAACGAAGAAAAATGAGAAGAAAACAGAAAATAGGAGAAAGAGAGAAAAGATGTTGAAAAGAGAAAATACGAAAGAAAAGAAAAGAAAAGAAAAGAAAGAAAGAAAGAAAGAAAGAAAGAAAGAAAGAAAAGTAGAAGAGATAAAAACAAATAGAGGTTGGAAGAACGAAGAAAATGAGAAGAAAACAGAAAATAGGGAGAAAAGAGAAAATGTTGAAAAGAGAAAAGAAAGAAAAAAGAAAGAAAAAAAGAAAGAAAGAAAAGTAGAAGAGAAGAAAAAACAAATAGGAGGTAATGGAAGAACGAAGAAAAATGAGAAGAAAAAAACAGAAAATAGGAGAAAAGAGAAAGATGTTGAAAAGAGAAAATACGAAAAAGAAAGAAAGAAAGAAAGAAAGAAAGAAAGAAAGAAAAGAAAGAAAGAAAAAAGAAAGATAGAAGAAAACAAATAGAGGTAATGGAGAACAAAGAAAATGAGAAGAAAAAAACAGAAAATAGAAGAAAGAGAGAGATGTTGAAAAGAGAGAAATATGAAAGAAAGAAAGAAAGAAAGAAAGAAAGAAAGAAAGAAAAAAGAAAAGAAGAGATAGAAGAAAAAACAAAAGAGGTAATGGAAGAACGAAGAAAAAATGAGAAGAAAAACAGTAAATAGGGAGAAAGAGAGAAAGATGTTGAAAAGAGAAAATACGAAAAGAAAGAAAGAAAAGAAAGAAGGGAAAGAATTTAAAGAAAGAAAGAAAAGAAAGAAAAATAGAAGAGATAGAAGAAAAAAAAAATAGAGGTAATGGAAGAACGAAGAAAATGAGAAGAAAACAGAAAAAAGGAGAAAGAGAGAAAGATGTTGAAAGAAAAAAAAAGAAAGAAAGAAAAGAAAGAAAGAAAGAAAAGAAAGAAAAAAAAAAAGATAGAAGAAAAAACAAATACAGGATGGAAGAACGAAGAAAAAATGAGAAGAAAAACAGAAAAATAGGAGAAAGAGAGAAAGATGTTGAAAGAGAGAAAATACGAAAGAAAGAAAGAAAAGAAAGAAAGAAAGAAAGAAAGAAAAGAAAGAAAGAAAGAAAATGATAGAAGAGAAAAACGAAGAACGAAGAAAAATGAGAAGAAAAAACAGAAAATAGGAGAAAAGAGAAAGATGTTGAAAAGAGAAAATACGAAAGAAAAGAAAGAAAGAAAAGAAAGAAAGAAAGAAAGAAAGAAAGAAAGGAAGAAAAGAAAGAAAGAAAGAAAGAAAAGTAGAAGAAATAGAAGAAAAACAAAAAGGTATGGAAGAAGAAGAAAATGAGAAGAAAAATGAAAAATAGGAGAAAATGGAAGAAAATACGAAAAAGAAAAATGAGAAGAAAAAAACAGAAAATAGGAAGAAAGAGAAAGATAGAGGTTGAAAAAAAAAGAAGAAAAAGAAAAGAAAGAAAAAATGTTGAAAAGAAAAAAAAAAGAAAGAAAGAAAAAAGAAAGAAAGAAAGAAAGAAAAAGTAGAAGAGATAGAAGAAAAACAAATAGAGGTAATGGAAGAACGAAGAAAAATGAGAAGAAAAACAGAAAATAGGAGAAAGAGAGAAAGATGTTGAAAAGAGAAAATACGAAAGAAAGAAAGAAAGAAAGAAAGAAAGAAAGAAAGAAAGAAAGAAAAGAAAGAAAAAGTAGAAGAGATAGAAGAAAAACAAATAGAGGTAATGGAAGAACGAAGAAAAATGAGAAGAAAAACAGAAAATAGGAGAAAGAGAGAAAGATGTTGAAAAGAGAAAATACGAAAGAAAAGAAAGAAAAGAAAGAAAGAAAAAGAAAGAAAGAAAGAAAGAAAAAAGAAAAGAAAAGTAGAAGATAGAAGAAAAAAAATAGAGGTAATGGAAGAACGAAGAAAAATGAGAAGAAAAACAGAAAATAGGAGAAAGAGAGAAAGATGTTGAAAAGAGAAAATACGAAAGAAAGAAAGAAAGAAAGAAAGAAAAAGTAGAAGAGATAGAAGAAAAACAAATAGAGGTAATGGAAGAACGAAGAAAAATGAGAAGAAAAACAGAAAATAGGAGAAAGAGAGAAAGATGTTGAAAAGATAAAATAAGAAAGAAAGAAAGAAAGAAAGAAAGAAAGAAAGAAAGAAAGAAAAAGTAGAAGAGATAGAAGAAAAACAAATAGAGGTAATGGAAGAACGAAGAAAAATGAGAAGAAAAACAGAAAATAGAAGAAAGAGAGAAAGATGTTGAAAAGATAAAATACGAAAAGAAAGAAAGAAAGAAAAGAAAAGAAAGAAAGAAAAGAAAAAAAAAAAAAAACAAATAGAAAGAATGGAAGAAAGGAAGAAAATGAGAAGAAAAACCGAAAATAGGAGAAAGAAGAGATGTTGAAAAGAGAAAAGAAAAAAAGAAAGAAAGAAAAGAAAGAAGAAGAAAAAGTTAGAAGATAGAAAAAAAAACAAATAGAGGTAATGGAAGAACGAAGAAAAAATGAGAAGAAAAACAGAAAATAGGAGAAAGAGAGAAAGATGTTGAAAAGAGAAAATACGAAAGAAAGAAAGAAAGAAAGAAAGAAAGAAAGAAAGAAAGAAAGAAAAAGTAGAAGAGATAGAAGAAAAACAAATAGAGGTAATGGAAGAACGAAGAAAAATGAGAAGAAAAACAGAAAATAGGAGAAAGAGAGAAAGATGTTGAAAAGAGAAAATACGAAAGAAAGAAAGAAAGAAAGAAGGTCGAGGAAGAAAAAGAAAAAGAAGAGTAGAAATCAGACTTAAAGAACACGAAAAACTATAGGACAGAACTGAAAAATGTAAAATAAGAAGAAAGAGATGAAGAAGAAAAAAAGAAAAGGAAGAGAAAACAGTAAGGAAGAAGAATGAGTTGAAGATGAGGAAAGGAAGGCAAGGAAAAATACTAGATAAGAAAGTTAACACGAAGAAAAGAAAAAAAAGAAGAGAATTATAAAAAAAGAAACGTTAATAACGAAAATGAATGAAAAGATGAAATTGAAGATAAAAAAAAATGAAGAAAATGAATATTAAAAAGAAGAAAAAGAAGAAGAAAATGACAAGAGAGAGAGAGAGAAAGACGGAGCAAAGCGAGAGAAAAAAAAGAGAAGAACGTGAAAGAAGAAATTAAAGATGAAAAAGAAATTGAGGAAGATGGAGAAAAAGAGAAGAAAAAAAGAAAACACAGAAAAAAAAAAACGAAAAATAGAAGTAAGAAAATAAATTCGGAAAATATAAAACAGTATCACATTGAAATCGGAAGGTGCATTGTGTTAGCAAAAGGTGCCTCCAAAAAGCTAAGCAAAGTATTAAGAAACAGGAAAAAAAATTAATAAAAAAAAAAGTGTTGAACTGTTACAAAATATCAGTCCTTCGGTATGACATTCACATGCGCGACAATCTCCTTTCAGATGAAGAAGAGACTTGAAGCAACATAAATGCGGTTCTACAGATGGATGCTGAGAATACCATGGAATGAACATGTGAACAACGACGAAGTTTTAGATAAAATTAAAACAAAAAGGGTTATACTTAACATCAAGAACAGACAGTTGAAATTTCTAGAAATTATAAGGAAAGAGGACTTGGAAAATTTGATACTCACAGGACAGATTGAAAGTAAGAGGGACCGAGGAAAGCAACGCATATATAACAAAACGACAAGATTTATGACAGGAAATTGTGTTGAGACATGGACGCCAACGTCATGAGGGGACACGGCACATTGTAGTTGTAGTAGTCGTATTATTATTATTATTAGTAGTAGTAGTAGTAGTAGTAGTAGTAGTAGTAGAAGAAGAAGAAGAAGAAGATGATGATGATGATGATGATGATAACGGTGAACCAATATAAGAAAAGTAAAAAATGAATAAAAAAACAAGGAATAAGAAATGGTAAAAGCGGCAGAGAAAAAAGATGGAAAAGAGAGGTCTAAAAAAAACTCGTCAGAGAATGTTTAAAAAAAAAGAGGGGGAGAAGGTAAAATTTTGGAAAAAGGACTTGAACTAAAATGAGAGATTTAGTGATGACGAATGAAGTACACTGTATTCAACTTCAAAGATGAAATATGGAATTTTGAAAAAATAGAAAATAATAAAAAAATTAAAGAAAGACAAACAGAAAATGAAAAAAGTTAAAGAAATTCAAAAACAGCAAATAAAAATAAAAATCTTAAAAAAAGAGGAACGAATGAAAATCCGTATCCTAAATAAAATATTTTCATAGCCTCATGATAACGTTCTTATCATGGAACCATTTTCCGGCGATAATCACATAAGCCAACGTGATTTACTCAATGATAATTTTAGGTGATGTTCAGTGGTGGGAGTAAGTTCTCCGAAAACTTATTCCATCTTTCAATCTACCCTGTCGGTCTGTCAACCTGACTATTTATCTTACTCTTTATTTGTTTTAACTGGTCTCGAATTCCTGTTAGAACGATAGCCGCGCTGGTTGGTATTCAAGTTCAGATGAACGTCTGCATTTCAAAATAGAATTTTCAGGCCAGGCATAGGCAAATAGGCCACATTCACTCGGCAAATTGTTGCTACCTAAAATATCTTATAAACAAACCAGAAATTAAGTTCAATAATTAGTAAGTAATTTCCGTTTTAGGGAACCAACTGTAATGAGGAAGTATCACCCTATTTAATGATTGCTTCTTCTTGTGTCATGCCCCTTCCAGACATGGCCCACCACAACTTCCTGTCCTGCCAAGTATCTAGTAAATTTTGAATATTTTTACTATCCTCTCACTATGAAATGGATAAAGTCCGACAATTATTTAAAGACATTTTTATGTATTCTTTTTATAGATACAAATATTTAAGTAAATGCTCTGTTTATAATAAACAGTATTAAGCAACATTTACCGGCCTGAATGTCCGAGAAATTTTCACAGAAAATATTCGTCCTCCGACAGGATTCCAACCTGTATCGTATACGGAACCGTATTTAGCTTGACGTGCCTTTACCGATTTGGCCACGATGGAGCGTTCGGTTAGCAAGGTCGAATTTACTGAATTTAAACTTCAATCTTGTATGTATCTCTCACGTACTTTCATATCTGCTCATGGTGTATCAAATGTAAACAAATGACGTCACACATTATGAAATGGAGAAAGTCGGACAGTTATTTTAAGACATTTTTATGTTTATACATTCTTTTTATAGATACAAATATTTAAGTAAATGTTCTTTTTATAATATAATCTATAAAAAGAATGTATAAACATAAAAATGTCTTAAAGTAATTGTCCGACTTTGTCTATTTCATAATGTGTGACGTCATTTGTTTACATTTGATACGCCATGAGCAGATATGAATGTACGGGAGAGTTTCAGAGAAGATGGAATTTCAAATACAGTCCCACACGAATTGCCACTTAAAAGTGTTGGAGGCCATTTAGATTTTATCGTTGAAGCCCTCTCTGTATAAACAGAATGACTTCATACTGGTCCTCCACCTAATTTCCATCTAAACAATTATTTTTTCTTCTTCAATACATATTGTCCATTTTTTTTTATTGATAATTCAGTTTATGAACCTCGATATAGCTCTGATGATCGAGGTTCGAAACCGGTTAGCTAGCCCGTTTTTCAGTTTTACTTTTTATTTATTATCATCATGAGTGTTAATAAAAATAATTTTTTCTGTTTAGTCATATATATATATATATATATATATATATATATATATATATATATATATATATATATATATATATATATATATATAACGAAAGAACAGTAAGATATATAATCCGGTGTTCATATAGATATTTTATTTTTACAAAAAAATCATATTTTAAATCAATTAATTTATAATATATATATATATATATATATATAATATAAAAAGAAAGAACAGTAAGATATAAAATCCGGTGTTCTTATAGATATTTTTATTTTTACAAAATAGTGCTCAATGTAAATTTACAGAGCATTAAAACCATATTTTAAATCAATTAATTTATAATATATATATATATATATATATATATATATATATATATATATATATATATACACACACACATATATATATATATATATATATATATATATATATATATATATATATTAATACCGGGTGTAACAGAAAAATTCCTACGCAATGTTTAATATCTAAAAATCACTAATCTAACTGAGCTCCTTTTTCTAGGTTTTCAGATAAGACGTTTAGCTATTTGTCGTAAGAATCACTGACAAATCCTTTGAGTTATTCAGCTAAAACGAGAGCAGGTTAAAATCGTTTTGTGTCAGCCCCATTATGTCTTCCCAAGTGAGCAATGGTCATACTCTGGCTTCCATCTTCAAAATCCATTAAAGAACCATGAAGAGGACGGTGAATATGTTCAAAAATGAGGGAACAGTGGAGAGGAAAACTGAATCAGGAGGTCACAGCAGCAAGAGGGACCACCATTCTGATTTAGAGCTAAATACATTCTTATTGTTCAAAGTAAAGTACAATAGTGCTATAAAAATCTCGGAAAATTCCAGTAAGATATCTTTAATCATTTCTAAGAGACAACGGTTCAAAACTTAATCTAACAATTGGGCAATTTTGCTGTTACACACAGTATATATATATATATATATATATATATATATATATATATAGATAGATAGATAGATAGATAGATAGATAGATATATATATATATATATATATATATATATACATATATATATATATATATATATATATATATATATATATATATAAAATGAACATAGAAGTTAACACTTAGAGGCGACAGTCTGTTTCATGCTGGTGGTGGCCTATGTTCACTTTTATATTTACACACGCTCTATCTCTGATATTGAGCACTTTATCCCATAAATATAGCACATCTTAAGACTATATTTCTTCATATATATATATATAGATAGATAGATAGATAGATAGATATATATATATATATATATATATATATATATATATATATATATAAAATTTGTGGTGATAGTGTCATCATCACGCTGGGATAATCTTTCATTTTATCTCTACATCAGTGGGGATAATTTGACGGTGCCTATCTCCTCTCCAGGTAAAACCAAACAGTACTAAGTGACATGCTACCAGTACCAGATAAGAAGTACTAATTTAACTTCGTACGTTATTTATTCATAAACAAAGCTATACCAAATCTTAACTCTCAGACGAACGACACACGGCTCTTTAAATGTTAAGTAAACACAGAAGTTTAAAATCGTCTAAAATTATTTTTTTCCAGTCATCTTCAGTTTATCCATTTTATCGTTAATATTTTACCAATTTGTTCATTTGAAATTTTTCCAGACCGGCTTTCCTTGAAATACGCAATGACTCCGTTATAATTTTAGCGGCTCATTAAATGTCCTCGCGAAACAACCGTCGTCCTGCTAAAGCGGGGTTAATCGAAGTAATATAAAAACATCGAAGAAATGTCGAAATTCTTGAACTCTGAACTATCGCGTTATTATAAGAAATTTAGGCTCCTTGAGCGTGCATCATCTGGCTGTCAGAGAGAAAGCAGGCGCTGCGTTGGGCTTTTGCTTAATTTTTTAACTTTGAAAATATTTTTGGTACATTTTGATTTGTGGTTAAACAGCTGCGGTTTTTTTTTTTTTTTTTTTTTTTTAAGTTTTTCCGCAAAATTCCGAGAAGTGTAGGTTATTTGAGGAGGGCCTTGGATTTAATTTTCGGAGTTGACGAACAGCCACAGCTGGAACTCAGATCGCCCCGGCCCAGAAAAAAAAAAACAAAAAAAAACACAGA